TCACTACACTGTTGTATACTACAACACCACTAAGGATGAAAGCGGATTGAAAAAAAAACCTCAATAGGGGAAAAAAAAACTAGTACCGATTACGGAGTGCAAGCAATACTTGACCGAAACAGTCGAGCGTTCGATGTGGAATGAACGCATGATGTAATGCTCGCGTAACTTTAGAAAAAATCCTATCAACTTTTATAAACAACTTGTTAGACCCTTTTCTCACGAGCCTGTTCTTCGGCAACCAAACCAAACCACTATCGGAAAGGAGAGAATTCACCCTACCCAATGGTGTTGTTGGCAGTGCTGTAAATTTTCATATCATTCGATTGAAGATGAACCACTACAACCATTCAATCAATTCTGTGTAAACGAATTCTCACATGACCATAATTTGAAGAGCCCCTTTCTCATTCGAAGCTCATTGTCACTGTCAATTGAGTCACTCAGTATCATTTGATATACGACAGTGGAGTATGGAAGAAATCCAGCAAAATGGTCCCGAACAGACAAGTCGACTCGATGTCGGATCAATGTAAGGCTAATTTAAGGTCGATGTCGACCCAATGTCGTGTTAATGTCGGGTCAATTTTGGGTTTATGTCGGGTCAATGTCGGGTCAACATCGGGTTGGGGTTTGATAGAAGTCAGGTTGGTGTCGGGTTGGCTTAGCTTTTTCGCCGGAATGTCGACCAGAGTTCCGTTTGTGTGTAGGTTACACTCAATCGAATGATATATAGCGTTTCTCAAATGAGAATGATCCATGCCTTCGTCAAATGACTAAGCAACTGATATCACCCATTCGGAGGAGGTCCCCTTTGATAGCGAATAGCTACTTTTCTCATTTTCATCAAAAATGTTCAAATGATTTTGAGAATTTACAGCACTGGTTGTTGGTTTACATGGGCGTACTTCGGTTCGCGCGAAAAATGTCTAACAAGTTTTGTGTACATAAGTTGATAGGCCATTTTTAAATGTTACGCGAGTATTGTTCATGTGTTCATTTTTAGTAAACACGGCACCGCTCAAACGTCAAATTTGTTCATGCAGTTCATTGCGTGCATTAGGTTTTGCACCGTCGGGGTTAACCTCAATCTGATGACAGTTCAGTGGTACTGTTTACGTGGACTTAGTCGATTTTTTCTTGGGTGGATTTTCTCGATAATTTTTCAGAGTGCAGTGAGATGTAAACCACACTTCTGCATTGTCCACGAGCAACATCCTTTCACCGCGCTGTTCCTCGACAATTTTCAAGTTAAAATCCAGAATTTTAGAATTTGTTTTTTTTTTTCGTAAAAAACGACTAAGTGCTTGTAAACAGTACCACTGAACTGTCAAAAAGGTTCAGCCTATTAACACTGCCACATCTCACTGCAGTCTGAAAAATTATCGAGAAAATCTACCCAAGAAAAAAACGACTAAGTCCACGTAAACAGTACCACAGAACTGTCATCAGATTGAGGTTAACCCCGACGGTGCAAAACCTAATTGGTCAATAGACGAGTGCACGGGTGAACTTTTGTTCATCTACTGAAATTTTTTTGACACAACAGTGGGGCCCTGTTTACTAAAAATGAATACATGAATAATGCTCACGTAACATTTGAAAAGGGGCTATCAACTTTTGTAAATAATTTGCTAGGTCGTTTTCACGAGAATCGAAGTACGCTCACGCAAACCAAGAGCACTATCGGGAAGGGGAGAATTTCATCTGCCCGATGGTGTTGTTAGTTTGCGTGAGTGTATTCAGTTCGCGCGAAAAAGGCTTAACAAATTTTGTGTACATAAGTTGATAGACCTGTTTCAAAGGTTACGTGAGTATTATTCATGTGTCCATTTTTAGTAAACAGGGCCCCGCTGTTGTGTTTCTTTTTGTCGAGTGAGTGAACTTAAAACCATCCGTGCACTCGTCTATAGGCTACCCGAATAAGGACTGTTCATTAAAGAAACACCTGTTTATCAATGGTTTAGGGTTAAAACTTAACGAAAAATTGTGAATTATCTTTCAGTGTGTAAAACTATTGTTTATTTTGGCAACACACCTGAAAAATAAAAATAAAAGTTAGAAATTTCGAAATATCAGCTTATTAACTCGCAGTTGTCGTTTCGAGGATTGGCAAAAAGCGTGAAGTGCAGTAAATATACAGTGTTCAAGATTGTTAAGAAGTTTGAAACAAAGTGTTCTCTTGAATATTTACCGAAATCTGGGCGCAAAAAGGGGGCATCGGACCAGAAAAAGGAGCTGGCAGCAGTACCATAGAGGTAACTCTAAGACCAGAAGGTCCCGAAGATACGTGCTCAACTTTTTGGCTCAGCTCTGGTACTATCTTCGGTTGCAAGCTAATCGATGCAGCCCTCGAAACATAGGAAAATCGATGAAGCCCTCATTTTATCTGTCAAACTTTCATAGCAAATCAAAACAAACATAGTGTAGTACTAGAATTTCGACAAAATGCCAGATAAATTCAAGAATGAATATCTCCATAATACTAACTTAAATTGAACCATGATGCTGTTTTCAGCAAAGTTGTTTCTTATAGACTACACAGTAAAAAATTAATTTTAATATCACATCAAAGTGGATGCACTTCAATCATATCGAAAATATGGTGTAATATTACTTGCCAAAAAGGACAAAATTATCATTAACTTAACCACAACCGAAGTGACAGAGGAGCGGCTCGAAAACTTTGGTGACTAACCTGCTATTTCAATTTTTCAGTGTACCACATGGCAACACCACTACTACTGGATTGTACCACATGGCAACACTACTAAGAATTGTACTAGCATTTTCATCAAATGTATTAGAATGTTTTGGTTCTATCTCTTTCACTCTACTCAAAACTGAAATGCATAAAAAAATGACAAAATGATACACTCTTTGCACACTGTCAAAGAATCATTGTACACAAAATCAACTTTGTTCAAATCAAAACAAAAAAACTAACCCATCTGGTGGATGATGGCACAAGCTTCCAAAAAAATTCTATTACAGTGAACCACATTATTTTAATGAATTTCTTCGCCAGTTAGTCGTCTGTCACTTCGTTTGTGGTAAAACTTACATGAGATTTTCGACATGAGTGAAGTGCATCCTCTTAGATGTAATATTGAAATTTATTTTTTGCTGTGTAAGCTACATGTGCTGAAATTCTGAGCTTAAAAGAGTTTGCTGAACCTGTGAAAGGATATTATTTATCCATATATTCGAAAAAAAAATCACCATACAAACTTTAAGCCAAAAGCGCCAGCTCGTGTTACATCCGCATGAGCTGAAATTTTCAGAGAGTGGTTTTTTTCACTTAATGGTACAAATTTAGGGATTGGCCCGTTGAAAAAAATGATAAAAAAAATCTCTCATATAAATGTGGGCAAGTCTAGTAAGCATTCACAGCCGCGCGTCTAGGAGCTGGTCGGACGTAGACGGGGCCAAAGTAGTCTACGCCTGTTTTGAAAACGGTCGGGTTACTATTATTGTTACACGAGGCGATGGCAATTCTCCGATCAGGCCAAGAGGTCAAAAAACGTAGTCCAACACTATATATAACTTACAGAACAAGAATTTCGCGTGTGGGGTTTTCCGGTTTTCATCAGTACCGATAATACACTAGTGGAAATTAATATAAGGACACTTTAAAAACCATAGCTCCTCCCGAATCTAAGAATCAGAGGAATTCTATATCATGAGTGGAAGCCACATTATCATGCTACAATATGAGCCTAAGAAAGAACCAATTGCATCATGTTCGTAGGAGAAATCAATGGAAATGTGATTTCCTCCTTCGGACATAAATATAAGGACGCCATACAAAAATGTATGGGATAATGGTAATTTTCATTTTTTCCTTGATTTGTTTTCCTTCGATCTTGTTTTCCGTGCTGAGCACAAATGCTACCAACGCCAGGGATGCAGCTCCCACACCTGGACCCTACCTATCGACTCATCAACTCATGAACCGGGGACCAACGGCTTTACTTTCCTTCCGAAGGAAGGCATGATCAGGCCTGCTGCGGTGAGAGGTAATCACGCTTACCACTATACCACCGGCGCCGCTTATTGGTCATTTTCGAAACATTATTTAACATGGCAACAATTATTGTGGCACAGAAATAATCAAAGAGCTAGTTCCAATAATCATTAAACTTCATTTCTGAAAAGTTATAAGCAGATCCAATCGCTAGAAGTTCTCGAACATCACAAAAATGATTGGTTGATCAGCGATGATCACATAGGAAATGTACGTATCTCCGTTTCCATCTAATCGTCTTGGTGTCTTCGGTGCGCTTATTCCTTATTATGCAAGCAATAAAAACTCCGAAGAAGTCCAAAACGATTTGACGGAAATGTACACTTTTATGCTTTTATCTTACTTTTTTTTTGCGATATTGGTCTTCCTGTTGGCGCTTCTTCTTTCAAAAGACCTTGCTTGATCTGTGCTTGCCTGTATCGCTCCACATTAGTTCTCATGCATTGCTGCAGCATTCTCGCCCATGCTGCTCCTCCTCCACTAACTGTTACCATTCGCTGGCAAATGGTCATTACCGTTGAGTGTACGGCTCTTAAAATAGTCTATAAGTTGCTGTTCATGAAAGTAAACGAGATCTCTGAACAAAACAAATGTAAATGAACTGTCTAGTTTCCGTGCACTGATTTATTACAGAAATTTGTCCGAAGACTAATCATGATTTATTTTTTCTTAGAATGTTTTGGAACCATTTTCCAAAATCTTGAGCTATGGAATTCAAAACATCGTATTATCCCACAAGGTGTTAGTGGATCTATGTTATTTGAATAGCCGCGCGTTCTCAAAGGAACGTGACAAACTTCAACTGTGTAGGCAGATGGTATTTGAATTGGTGCAAGCACTTAAGTTTAAAACTAATATTCCTGACAGCAATCTTTTGTTGTTAGTTGGAATATTGCTACAGGACGCTGGTGGTGCTATGCCACCGGGTGTAATTGAAGACTTACCGGAAACTGCTCCGAATTTCAGTTGTAACATAGCGGATTGTATGCGACAGACGTATTTGAATGATGTAATGGAGTTTTTAGCTGATTTCCACACACTCAGCAAGATTAAAGTAAGTATATTTAAATTAACATATTGTGGAAAGGGGTTATACAATAATTAGGTGAGCACTTTTTTTTTCAAACCCCCATCCCTCTCCCAATTGAGACCAAGACCAATTAATATTTAACAAACAAAAACAATCCTCCCCCCTAAGAGCACCGCCACGGGAGTCCCCATACGGGTCCCTATCTCTATTTCCGAGCCCCGCACCGGTAGTAGCTAAACGGGCTTGGGAAATGAGAACGCAACAAAAAATAAATCATGAGTTTTATATTTGGCGCCCCACTAAAACCAGAAGGTTCCGAAGAAACGTCCTCAACTTTTTGGCTCAGCTCTGGTACTATCTTCGGTTCCAAGCTAATCGAGCAACCCTCGAAACATAGGAAAATCCACGAACCCCTCAGTTTATCTGTCAAATTTTCATAGCGATTCAAAACAAACATAGTGTAGTACTAGAATTTCGACTAGAATGGGGTACGCTTATATATGTACTTGGGTCCAATAGGCTAGTTAAATAGTGAGCCAATTTTTAATTAGTTATAGAGCAAAAAAGGCAAAACTCTAGCCCTCTGGTTGTGGGAGATGGATTTAACAAAATGATTCAGTTTTTGAAATCCTCCTTGGCACATCATAGCAAGCAGACTAAAAAATCAATTTATGCACAATTCCAAAGGATTTATCAAACAAATATTTGAATTAAATTGAATTAAAATCTCGAATCGATATAAAGGACGCATTTCTCCATTGATTTATGTCACTTATACACTGTTATTGAGAGTTCCGAGCCTTTTCACCCTTATAGTACGTTCAGACTACAGAGTTATAACATGTTATAGCGCTATCTTGATGGTGGTTTCTGTGTTGCAATTATTTGACAACCGTTATAACATGTTATAACTCTCCAGTCTGAACAAGGCATTAGTGAGGTTATCTTTTGGTGAGCGTACTTGCAACGTCCTACTTTGTTTTCTTTCTTCTACTGCACTTGACAACTAGAATTAATAACAGTTTTCAGTGAGCTAATTAAGTTGATATCGAGGTTGATATTAGTTGTAATATGTAGATCTAATTGAAATTGAACGGAGATTGCAAAAGCATCAATAATGCAAGCTGCTGGTGAAGGTAACGAAGCATATTTGATGTACAGATAATTGCTTTCATCCTGTTTTTTCTTACGACAGATTCAGCCACAGTGAGCGTAAGCCACAAAAGTGCACCGGATGTTGTTGTGGATTAACTATTATTGATATCCTCGATTACGTTGGAGATTCGATTCGCCCTATACGGGAAGGGTTTGCTGTTTTTGTAGCCAACCATATCGTCGTGATTGGATACCGGAACAACTCAAATTAATCATGTTTTGTTGTTTTTGACATCATCCACATCCAGAGAGCCAGTCACTTTGAATGTATGGGAATGGTAGGAAACCATTGGGAAGTGCATGAAAATTTTCAGTTTTTATTCATTATCGTCTTTATGGGCAGTTTTAGATGCACAAAAATTGCACGAGTACATTACTATGGTGATAAGGTAAACACTCGTTTATTTGTTTTCTTCTGTGAAAGCATGTTTAGTCACAAATCGTGGATTTTCTGATATTCTCCATACTGCAAAAATGATTTTCCTACCACTGAAGGGGCGACATCTCTCGGATCTTCAATATAGCTACTACTCAAATCATATAATTAATTCTAGTGTGGAAGTGGCTGTATATGTGACTCAAAGTTCGCATCCAGGTATTCTCCCTCATGAGGTGAAATTAAAGATTTCTGAGAATGTGAACAGCTGGAAATTAGAATGTTCATGTAAGGCTGGGACAGCAAAGTGCAAGCATATTATTGCTTGCCTCTTACATTTAGAGAAGTATGCAAGATTAGTACTACTCGCACCCCACCCAACTAGTTTTCCTTTAGATGTATTCTGTTAACAACGATGTTATGGTGCAATGCATTCTTGTTGTTGCTTTTTTTCTACACCGTGTTATTCAAATTGATGCTGGATACCCGGTTACCCCGTCACGTACATCACGCTTAAAGCATTCATTTTTAGTCGGCAAGTGATTCCGCCTGTTTTTGAATGCACAATATAGAAAAATCTGATTTTTGACATGAAATGTTACAAACAGCTTTTCTGCAAAAGAACATAGTTGGGTGGTCTGCTGCTTTTTTTTCAGCATAGTAATGAATACCCTTAATTTAATTGCAGGAATGAAAAGCTTGAATATTTATCATGTACAGACGTAAAACAAGCATGGGGAATTTCAAAATCCCAAAAAACTGCTCCTTGGTGTGCAAAAAAAATCGAAATTTGTGCTGCGTTCCAAAATCGAAAAGGATACATTTTCCTGTAGATGACGTGGAAGGGATTTTGACAGAATCGTTCCATAGAATTTTATCAGGTAAATATAATTTTGGTAGTGGGTAATTTGAATCCATATTGATTATTGTGAAACTCACCAGATACGCTCGAGGAATCTAAATCTTGAAATTTTAAACAAATAAGGTGGCCTTGACAAAATTAGAAAAAATAAATTAGATCTTATTTTGCTGCGGCCGTTTACACATTTTTTTCGATTCTATTTATGATCAAGGATAATTTTCAGTTCATGTTTGGACTTTCATATTTAATTTGTTAAGATTTTTAAACACTGAAAATAGACATAGGACATTTTGGAATTAATTTCTGCTAAATTGATTTTGTAAATTTTACCAACCGATTAATTTTTGAAACCATAGAATTTTAAGCCAGTAACTGATCATATCAGGCGTAACATTTTAAAATGGCACAAAAGTGCACACGCGAACCGAAGTACGCCCACGCAAATCAATACCACTTTCGAAGAATTTCCCCTTCCCGCTGATGTTGTTGGTTTGCGTGGGCGTACTTCGGTTCACGTGTGAAGGGCCTTACAACTTTTGCTGACAAAAGCTTTTGTGCCGTTTTGAAATGTTATGCCTGAATATATCAAAATATTTTTTTTATTTCGTATATCAGATAATATTTATAATTATTATTTTTATATTTAAATTCCAGTTTGTGAAAATTCCGCAATATCAAAACATTCTGCCAGGAGACATTTAAATGAAATGAGAATATTCCCAGACCGTGCACTACAATCTGCAGGTGTCAATCTACTGGATGACTTTTGTACTCAAGATGAACTCATAGTATGCCTAAAGACCAATAGATTCGACGTGAAAATAGATGCCCATAGTTTTACTTCACATGAGGAAGAAAAATATTACGATGCAAATATTGCTGTTACTTTGAAGCAGTCAGTAGATTTAGCCATAGCTACCAAGTATCAGGACTCCAATCAATGGAAAATTCAACGATCGACTAGAATTACGGCTAGCGCATGCTATCAACTTTACACATACATCAACAACAAGAACCCCGATTGGGATAAAAAAATAAAACAATATTGGGACACTAACGTGCTGAAAGTAAAAGCAACCAAGTATGGAAAAGATACAGAACCACTAGCATATGAAAGCTACAAAAGAAAACGTAACCCTCTTGTTAAAAAATGTGGTCTAGTGATCCACCCAACTGAAAATTGGATTGGTGGTTCACCTGACGGAATCGATCCTCTAATGAGCATTGTGCTGGAAATAAAATGTCCAGTGGGCGGAGATAGCTCACTTGAAGAAATTATGAAATCTCCTAATGTTCTGAGATACGTAAAGCGCTGTTCAGATTCCGTAAATTTAATGTTGAATGATAAACATATGTACTACCACAAACGAAGTGACAGACGGAGCGGCTCGAAAACTTTGGTGACTAACCTGCTATTGCAATTTTTCAGTGTACCACATGGCAACACCACTACTACTGGATTGTACCACATCACCAAATGTACTAGAATGTTTTGGTTCTATCTCTTTCACTCTACTAAAAACTGAAATGCATAAAAAAATGACAAAATGATACGCACTCTTTGCACACTGTCAAAGAATCATTGTACACAAAATCAACAATGTGCAAAACCAAAACAAAAATACTATTCCATCTGGTGGATGATGGCACAAGCTTCTAAGAAAATTCTATTACAGCGAACCACATTATTTTAATTGATTTCTTCGCCAGTTAGTCGTCTGTCACTTCGTTTGTGGTACTACTGTCAAGTTCAAATCAACATGTGGATAGCCAATTGCTCAATTTGTGATTTCATTATATATTCTAAAAAGGATGATGACTTTGCGCTTATAGAAGTACCTTTTGATTGTCAGTTTGTAGAAAATGTGATCAACCATCTCAAATCTTTATTTTCCAAAGAATGCTCACACAATTAATGAACCGATCCTGAATAAAAACGTTTTTGACACCCAATGTATTTAATCGTCTAAAATCATTAGATTTTCCAAGAATTTAGTCCAATTGGTTTACTTTCTTGTGTTATCTATTTCAAAATATGAATGTTCATGGACACATATACATCACATCCAAACATACACACATACACACAAAATTAAACACGATATATTCGAAAACAGTTTTTTTATTAAAATTAATAACATTTTAAAGTTGTATTTAAATGATGAATTTTCAGAAGGACGTATATGCTTCTGCAAACAAAGATTCAAACGTCAATGTGCCAAATCTTTTAGCTCACCCACGCAAATTAGGAGTTTAAAAAAATTGACGTTTGGATGTTTGTTTATAATAGCAGATATGTCCTTTTGAAAATTAATCCCTGATTTATTAGTCCCATTTACAGTATAATGAAAAAAATATCCTTGAAATCAAAACTTATCGTCCTTCAAAATAGGTGGACTGAGATTCACAACTCCACAAACTGAAACTATGATAGCGTCAATCATGCTAAGCGCGGATGCATTTAAATTGCCGGTCATAATTTAAAAAAATTTAATTCTTTGAATTTATTGCTCTTTCCACGTGGATCCTAGCCCGAGCTATAGCTTCATTCCGTGTTGCTTCTGCAGGCGTTAAACGTTCAGACCTCATGAAAAGTGGTATGTGCAGCTTAATGCATTTATTGGTGCATTCATTTTCTATTGAAACCCCTTTATCCACCATCAGCTCATCGACATGGGGCTCCAAGCTATCGATGAGTTTTTCCTCATTGAATATGAATTTGTCTGAAGCTTTGCCAGAGTACGCATCAGAAACAAACGAAATAAGGCCTGCAGGAGTGACACCCAGGAGAAATTTTACAGTTCGACGGCTTTTGTAGTTCGAATAGCAAGCTATCCTGCAATTTAAACATTTCAAAGACGCAACGGAAATCTCAGTGCAATCCAAAATCATTGTTACGTTGCCAAAGTGTTGCCTGAATAATAGCGGAATATTTTCTTTGATTTCCTCTTTCGAGGGGCGGTAAATAAATCGTTTCATAAGAATAGCAATTATTTGTATCGTATGAACGAAATACGTTGAAATGCTCACGCTGCTAGTGCGATACAATGTCGCAAGTGCCTCGAAAGAAATATTTTGCTTAAGCTTTGCAAAACTAAGAATGACCCTGTCAGTGGCATGTAATTTGAAGTTTTTACCAGTAACAACATCCTCTAGCTTCCTGACTGCTAAACAAATCTCCTGCAACAATGCCAATGTTTGTAGTCCGGTCCAAATCCGAACATCTTTGTCGGAAATAAGTAGATCGGAAAGTGTCATTGCCTCGCTTTGCTTGATGCAGTCCATAGCTTCCTTAACATTCGGCTGAAGGTACGTTTGGGTCTGTTCTTGGTCTTCCACAACATCCAGTGAAACAGCATAATCCCGATCAAAAGCTATTGTTCCATCGCAATGGTAAGGTTCAACTTTTTCACCGATAGTTCGATCGTTATAGATGTTACCACTTTGATGAACGGTAGTCTCTTTGGCTCCATCTTCTACGGGTTCTTCCAGAGCTTCCACTAGAGTTACCGTGTCACCATCATTGGTTTCATTGCCGGAAATACTGTTGTTCCTATTGTTCTCACAATTTTCTGTTCCCGCTGTGCAATCACTTGCAGTAGTACTTGTGTTGAGTAGCTCGCCTCCGCATACAATATCCCATGCACTACGTTCGGCTACTTCAGTGGGCAGCTTTGCTGATGGTAGAGCAGTGATGTTAAGACGTTTACCACCTAAAACAATAAGCACAAAAACGGTTAAGTGTATCCTCATTACCATTATTAACATTACAAACCAGGTAAATAGTCCTTACTGGGGAAGTGGATACTACAAACTTTTGAGTTAATGGTCGGTTCAATTCTACACTTAAGAATTCGAATCCATTGCTGATACCGATGATCTGTTTTCTTCAGAAAGCTGTGTAACATTATTCTGTTGTTTGCCTTGGATCGACACCCAGTTACGTAGCACTTCCGAACATGCTTGGACGCAGGCTCGAATTTACTATAGTTGTGGTCGTGGAGATACGGTGGAAGGGCTTGCTTTACAGAAAACCGTTTCGGCAATCTGACTAGTCTCGTGACTTTTTTCGATGGAATAGCACTTGTTTTCAGATACTTGGAGGTAACTGTAACGGAATGGGAAATTAGTTCAAAACTCTTCAGAAGCATTCATTAAACGAATTACCTTTGCAAAAGTCCTCTGACTTAAAATGACGTCGACAGATCATTGCGTACGTGGTGTCCATGTGTGGGTCAATATTCAGAGCCTGGTGCCACTTACGAAGAGTTGTCTTTTTTTGCGGGAAAGGTTCCATAATTTTGCGTGCTTTCGTACAGCAGCGTCGGATGCAACATAGTCCAGTAGTGCGGAATTTTGTACCATCAGATGGTAATTTTTGGCTTGGAACAGCATTGATATTGAGTTTTGATCGTTCATCTGCAAGTTGCAATTAATTAAGTAAAGGTATCAAAAGTTAAATCAATGTTGTCAAACAAAACAGACAAATAAAAAACATAATACAGGGGAGTGGATTGTGGATACTCTGAAGAGAAAATTTCATGCATTTCGAAATGCAAATGTGAAATGCATTGGCTAAATTGTCGATGCTCTTCTACCTGATGCAATTTTTCGTGATTTCCTCCTCCAGAGTACCTTTAAAACACTCCGTCTGTTTGTCAAGCATATTGGTCACTTACGTTTAATGAAATCCGATTCAACGAAATGTTCTTCGCAAATTCTTTCTTTGCGGTCTCCAGAAAGGCTCATGAACTGCTTCCATGCCTTAATGTTTTTACGGGTTGATGGTGGCACAGCAAAAAATTTTAACGATCCCGGGAGCCCGACAACATTTCGGCAGGAGGGAACTACGCACTTCTTCAACGATTCCATTGTCCTGTATCACTTTATAACCTAATTTTACACTTATATGGCTAAACGAAGTCTTTTTATTTCCTGAAGTTACATTATTGCAGTGAAAAACATGATAACATTAGCGTAATTCAAAATTTTGTGTTGAAAAACTTCATACATCGAACGAATTGACAGCTTTAAATGAAAATGGCATCAACAGAACCGCAGCGCCAACTATGAGTCGTTTGCTGCTTTTTTTTTCTCTATAGCGAATTCGTTTATTATTCAGTTCCAACCTGGATCGGGTATCAGGATTGGGTCTGCTTGTTTTCTGACAAACGTCAGTTTGCTCGTTTGTTTTTAAAACCTAGCTCAGGTTGAGGTTCGCACTGACAAAAAGTTCGGTTTCGCACTGATAATAAACGAATTTGCCATTAGTTTCCACCGGTTGCTAAAATTCTGCTCTGGGTCGCTATTTTGTTTGCTTGCGACACTGCTGCATTGGTTCACATTGTGTGGTTCAGTTTGTGGAGATCCAATGGTTACGCCCTTTCCTAAACCTACTCCACATCGCCCACCCCTGGGAACCAAGAGCCGGTGACATCAAGGTAATGTTGTTAGCATTTTACTTTCAGTGTAAACTGATCGCTCATCGCGCATAGAACGTGTTGTATTCTTTCTCCCGATTAAATACCTTTTTACAAAGTATTCCGCGTGTGTAAAGTTATTTCCACTGTGCTTCCGAATTCCCGGTGACCCTCCCGTTCCACTGACACCTGATTCTGTCCATCAGGTTATGGGCCCAGTGGTCAAGCCGCGTCGGGAATCGGAAAAGTGAATTGTAAAAGTTCTGGCTGGCCGAGCCGCCATTGCTGCTGTTCCGCCGTGTGTGCGAGGAGTGGAAAAAGACGAAAAGACCGCGCGAAGACTGCCCGCTGCTCGAGCGGCTGTGTGTGTTGGTGAGCGTTGTTTTGATTTCCCACCGTCGGTCGGGTGGAAGACGTTTCGTGACGAACGTAGAGCAAACGTGCGGTGCCGGCGCCGAGACAAGAAGAAGACTTTGTTTACGTTCGGCAAGTGAAAGTGAAATTCGCGAAAATGGTCGATGCCAGGTTCTCTATTCCGAAGTTGAGCGGACAGAACTGGCAGACCTGGACAATTCGCGTCGAAATGCTGCTGTGTCGTGAAGACCTGTGGTTTGTTATCGAAGACGACCCTCCGGATGAAAACGAAGTGGTGGAATATGCTCGCTGGAAGAACGCCGACCGAAAGGCAAAAGCAACCATCGTGCTATTGCTAGAAGATAGCCAGCTCGCGCTGGTGAAGAACAGTGCTTCCGCGCGCGATGTTTACAACTCGTTGAAAGCGTACCACCAGAAAACGAGTCGGTCTGTGCGTGTGTCTCTCCTAAAGAAATTGTGCGCGATGAATCTTCCGGAGCGCGAAGATCTGGATCGGCATTTGTGTGAAATTGACGAGCTGTTTGATCGGCTCGATGCTGCAGGCACGGAGCTCGATAAAGATACGAAGATTTGCATGCTCCTGCGAAGCTTGCCGCCGTCGTTCGATGGAATCGTCTCTGCGTTGGATGGTCGTTCCGATGACGATATCTCTATGGACGTGGTGAAATCTAAACTGACGGATGAGTACCTCCGGCGCATGGAGAGGGATGGTTCCTCCAGCAAGACGGAGAAGGCGATGCGATCTTCCGAAGGTAAGAAGGAACCGGATTCGAGAACGTGCCACTTTTGTAAGTTGCCGGGCCACATTCGCCGGAACTGCAGAAAGTTTCTGGCGCTGAAGAAGGCGGAAAATTCCAAGAAGGAGGGGGCAAAAGCGAAGACCGCCCAGGGCGGCGAAAAAGAAGCGGCCTTTACGTTGGGCGAAGAAGCTGGCTCGTCCGCCTGGGTAATCGATAGTGGTGCCAGCACACACATGACCGGAGACAAGTCGTTCTTCGGTACGCTGCGGGAATTCGCCGGAGGGTGGATCACCATGGCAAACGGTGAGAAAACCCAGATTCGTGGTGAAGGGTGTGGTGTGCTAAACGGCATTGATGATGAAGGTGAACATGTTAAAATCACAATGGCCGAAGTGAAATACGTGCCGGGTCTCGCGACGAGCCTGATTTCCGTGGGGCGCTTGGCACAGAAGAACCTGAAAGTGTTGTTCGAAGAGGATTTGTGTAAGATTTGCGATGGAAGAGGTACCGTTGTGGCGACAGGAGTTCGCACCGGCGGACTGTATCGACTGCGTCTCGGTCATTCGTCGATGAATGCTACGGCTGGGCAGCATCTGGAAAACTGCCAGCACCAGTGGCACCGACGATTGGGCCATCGCGACTGGGCGGCTGCGGAGCGTTTGCTGAAGGAGGAGCTTGCAACCGGAATTAGGGTAAGCAACTGTGGATTGAAAGTTGTATGTGAGTGTTGCATGGAGGGAAAGTCTGCCCGCGCCCCCTTCCCTGCGGTCGTTGAACGAAAATCGAACCAAATTCTCGACATCGTTCACACAGACCTTTGCGGTCCGATGAAAAACGAGACCCCGAGTGGCAACCGCTATGTCATGCATATTATTGATGACTATAGTCGGTTTACCGTAACATACCTGCTCAAGGCCAAGTCCGAAGCGGCGGGCAATATTAAAGACTATGTTCGTTGGGTTGAGACTCTAACAGGGCGCAAGCCGCGCGTAGTTAGGTCTGACGGTGGCGGCGAGTTCGATAATGCCGAGTTGAGACGGTTTTATAAGGAGGAGGGAATAAAACCACAATACACAACCGCATATTCTCCGCAATCCAACGGAGTGGCCGAGCGGAAGAATCGGTCGATCACCGAGATGGCGACCTGCATGTTGATCGACGCCAACCTGGAGAAGCGGTACTGGGGTGAAGCGGTGCTCACTGCCACGTACCTCCAGAATCGACTCCCGTCAAGGACACTCACGAAGACGCCCTTCGAACTGTGGTGGGGTCGGAAGCCGGATCTCAGCCACCTTCGAGTGTTTGGCGCTGAAGCTTTTGTGCACATTCCGGAAACCAAGCGAAGCAAGATGGAGAGCAAAGCCCGGAAGATGCTCTTCGTAGGATATTCCATGGAGCACAAAGGATATCGATTCCTCGATCGTGAAACGGACCGTATCATTGTGAGCCGCGATGCTCGATTCGTTGAGCTCGGCAATGGGTCATCGTCGTCGGAGATTCCGGTTGCTGTTTCCGTTCCTGAAAAACGTGGATCTGCTGAAGAAGAGGAAGAAGAGAAACCAGTGATCAGTGATGAAGAAGAAGGAAGCGGAGAAGATCCGTCGCAGCAAGAAGAAGAGGAAAGAAGTGATGATGAACAAAGCCAATACGATTCGTTCAGTGACAATTCCGAGAACAGAGTGCAACTCCCAGTTCGTCAATCTTCACGCCAAAACCGTGGGGCAATCCCCAAATATTTGAACGATTATGTGCTAGACTTTTCTGTGGGTATCGCGGCGTGTGCGGTCGAAGAGCCGACGGACATTAGTGAAGCGAAACAGAAACGTGAGTGGAGAGACGCTATGGCTGATGAACTTGAGTCCCATCGGCGAAATGACACTTGGGAGCTGGTTGCATTGCCTCCGGGAAAGAGGGCGATAGGCTCCAAGTGGGTGTATAAAGTGAAGAAGGACGAACTGGGACGAGTAGTGAAATACAAGGCAAGAATAGTGGCGCAAGGATTTGCGCAAAAGTTCGGAGTGGACTTTAACCAAGTGTTCGTTCCAGTGACGCACCAAGCGACGCTTCGTACGTTCCTTGCGGTAGCTGTGAAGCAGAAGATGGTTGTGCGGCATGTTGACGTTAAGACAGCATACCTCAACGGGGAGCTGGATGAGGAACTGTACATGCGCCAACCTCCTGGCTACGAGCTGCCGGGGCAGGAGGAGTTCGTCTGCCGTCTGAAGCGTAGCATCTACGGTCTACGGCAGGCCGCACGCTGCTGGAACAAGAAGCTCCAAGAGGTGTTGGCGAAACTTGGATTTCGTGCGTCTCACGCGGACCAGTGCTTGTTTGTGAAGAAAGTAGGCAGCTTGAAGATTTTCATTCTGGTTTACGTCGACGATATGCTGGTGGCATCAACGGACGACAAAGAGATCCAGCGAATCGTCGGAAGCCTCAAGAACGAATTCGAGTTGACAAATCTCGGAGATGTACGCCACTTCCTAGGCATGGAGGTGCTTCGAGATAGTGGCGGATTCAAGCTGCGTCTTCCGGTGTACATCGACCAACTGATTGCCAAGTTTAGTATGGATCAAGCGAAAACGGCGAACTCCCCTATGGATCCGGGGTTCTTGAAGACGGCGGACACGAGTGCAGATCTGGTTGACGCAACGAAGTACCGAAGCTTAGTGGGTGGAATCCTGTATTTGGCCGTTAGTGTGCGACCAGATTTGGCCGTCAGTGCAGCGATTCTAGGCAGGAAGTTCGCTAAGCCGAGTGAACGTGACTGGTCAGCAGCGAAGCATGTACTCCGCTATTTGAAATCGACACGCAACTTCTATCTTCATCTTGGCGGAGGCGAGGATCAAGTTCTGTCCGGTTACACGGACTCCGACTGGGCTGACGATATCGAGACAAGACGATCAACTTCCGGATTCGTCTTTATGTTCGGAGACGGTGCGGTCTCCTGGGCCAGTCGACGGCAGTCCTGCGTCACACTCTCCTCTATGGAGGCTGAGTATGTGGCGCTTAGCGAAGCCTGTCAAGAGGCTTTGTGGCTGAGGAAACTTCTGCGAGATTTCGACGAAGAGCAACGGAAGCCAACCGTGCTGCGAGAAGACAACCAAGGCTGCATTTCGTTCGTTACAACTGAAAGAGCCAGCCGTAGGTCGAAACACATCGACACGCGTGAAAGATTCGTCGAAGAACTGTGTATTTCGAAGCAAGTAGCTTTGGAGTATTGCCCAACTGATTTGATGGCAGCGGATGCGTTCACAAAACCGTTGGGACCTCTGAAGCTGGAACGATTCCGACAGATTCTCGGGATCAAGGAGTAGCAGAAAGGACGCGACATTGAGGAGGAGTGTGGAGATCCAATGGTTACGCCCTTTCCTAAACCTACTCCACATCGCCCACCCCTGGGAACCAAGAGCCGGTGACATCAAGGTAATGTTGTTAGCATTTTACTTTCAGTGTAAACTGATCGCTCATCGCGCATAGAACGTGTTGTATTCTTTCTCCCGATTAAATACCTTTTTACAAAGTATTCCGCGTGTGTAAAGTTATTTCCACTGTGCTTCCGAATTCCCGGTGACCCTCCCGTTCCACTGACACCTGATTCTGTCCATCACAGTTTACATCTCGCTTTGTGGTTCAGTGCATTTTATTGCGTTTTGTCAGGATGAATACAAATGAAAGAGGTGAAAGCTGGACATCCTAACAGCGAATTTGTTTATTATCGGGGTTGAAACCAGTTCTAACCCAGTGCGAAACCGAACTTTTTGTCAGTGCGAACCTCAACCTGAGTTAGGTTTTAAAAACAAACGATCAAACTGACGTTTGTCAGAAAACAAGCAGACCCTATCTTGATACCCGATCCAGGTTGGAACTGAATAATAAACAAATTCGCTATAAGAAAATACGGCGCTTTATCTTGCTAAAAACTAAATGTTTTGTTCATATCCATCTAAAAATTTACCATATCGCTCTGCTTTAAAAAGTGATAACTGAGCTCGTAGCAAATTTTCTCAGCTACAACTTTGTCCTATACCACTTTTCAATATAATGTAAGCATCAAAAGTTATAAATAATTCAAGCCACTAATGTCTTATGATTATGCTCAATCAACTGTTCAGCAGGCAACATTGGTGTTTCTGGCGGGTAGAATAGAGCTCAAAAATCATGGCTACTTTGTCACACTGCAAGATACAGTGTTGCTCACAAACTATATTCTGCTAAGTTGTAGCTGAGAAAAATTTTCATAAGTATAGCTTTTGAATTTTTGAACAATGCAATATGCAAAAAGGTAAGAAGACAATGAACAAAAAGTTTGGATTTCCATAGTAATTTCCATATAAGCTTCAAATGGTTTGTGACAAGTCAGTTTCTTATCAAATGAGTTCAAATTTTGGGAGACTAATCAGGACCCGATTTGGAACCGTTTGAGCGCTGTGGAGCGAAAAAGTCAAAATTTGCATCAGTCTAATATGCCATATTCAAGCTAACGGATTCAGGCTTTTGCGCGCAGTAAGGATTCGCGGATTCTATTTCTGCAACAATCTTTGTAAACAAGTTTTGCGACAATTGGGTTCTTAGCAACACACGGTAGAAAGACATTACTCAAATCGCTAACTCAAAATAGAAACCAACATGAATTACCAGTGGAAGAATGGGGTGCTAAGCTAAAATAGCTACCTAGATGGAGCCTTATTATAGGGGTAGGAGATATCGCCTCCCGTGGCAGTGCTCTTAGTAATATCATAGAGGTAACTCTAAGACTAGAAGGTCCCGAAATAACGTGCTCAACTTTTTGGCTCAGCTCTGGTACTCTCTTCGGTCCCAAGCTAATGATTCACCCCTCGAAACATAAGAAAAACCAATAACCCCTCATTTTATCTGTCAAACTTTCATAGCGAATCAAAACAAACATTGCGTAGTACTAGAATTTCGACTAGAATAGGGTACGTTAATCGTTTGCTTGGGACCAATAGGCTAGTCAAGTGGTGAGCCAATTTAAAATCGTTAGTTTCGTATTGATTGTTAGTAATATCACAAACGAAGTGACAGACGGAGCGGCTCGAAAACTTTGGTGACTAACCTGCTATTTCAATTTTTCAGTGTACCACATGGCAACACCACTACTACTGGATTGTACCACATGGCAACACTACTACTAGATTGAACTAGCATTTTCACCAAATGTACCAGAATGTTTTGGTTCTATCTCTTTCACTCTACTCAAAACTGAAATGCATAAAAAAATGACAAAATGATACGCACTCTTTGCACACTGTCAAAGAATCATTGTACACAAAATCAACTTTGTTCAAATCAAAACAAAAAAACTAACCCATCTGGTGGATGATGGCACAAGCTTCCAAGAAAATTCTATTACAGTGAACCACATTATTTAAATGGATTTCTTCGCCAGTTAGTCGTCTGTCACTTCGTTTGTGGTAATATCATAGAGGTAACTCTAAGACCACTGGGTCCCGAAGAAAATCATTATTATTTTTGGCTCACTCAGTACCAGAACAACGGTCCCAAGCAGTCCCAAGCTATTTCACTCACCCCTGCATGTTCTGCATGAATCCACACACCCCTGATGTTATCTGTCAAACTTTCATAGCGAATCAAAACAAACATAGTGTAGTAATAGAATTGCAACTAGAATAGGAAACGTTAATCGTTTGCTTGGGACCAATAGGCTACTAAAGTGGTGAGCCAATTTAAAATCGTTAGTTTCGTATTGATTGTTGGTAATATCTTGCATCATAATTCAATGGTCTGTATATGACTTGTTCGCGCTTATGTTCTCAGACTCCCTCCCTCCCGTGTAAGAAAACGTGCTCACGTAATTATTGAATGACCCTCCAGTACCTTTAATGGCGGTAAGCTCCATCTCGGATTAACTTTTAATCTCGCCCCTGTTCGGATGATCTGCTAAATGTTGCTTAAATCTGATGTCAACATCAAAGCAGCCGGACATTCTTGATCGGGATTTGATCCGAGGATAATACTGGTTAGAGCTTACCACCATAAAAGTTATCTGATCTAAGCCTGGCCTTGTAACCTGGATAATGTACTTATGTACAGAGGCGATATGATTTAAACGTAATTTTTAGTTTCTTTTTACATCACAACAGAATTTAAAAAACGGAGGCATCACGCTAGGCTTCAGTGAAGACACCCTAGGAGGAGTTTTGAAAGGAGCTGTTGCACAATATCTCGCTTTGGAAATGTCCCGCGGTAATTCCAGAGATAATAGAGCAGTGTCCAGATATCTACCATGGTTAAACAATGCGCCGTCGTCACTACAACAAGGGTGTGTTGCGTACATTGTGTAAAAATATAGAGCAGGTCCACGCCAAAATCATTTAATGATGAATCCAACAGACACGACCTTCTCCGAATTTTATGAACCTCTACATAATTCTTTGTTGGATAATCATTGACATTTGTGCTTAAATTCATCAATTTTGAATCTTGCAATAATATTGAAGATGGCGTACTTGATATTTTTCAATAAAACCCACATACCATGGGCCGATATTTTTTTTTAAATCAGTGCCAACATTTCAAAGGGGCGTAATTGCATTTGTAAACAATGGCTTTAGCCATAGATTTCTCGCAAATAAAAGCTCACTCATGAAAAATAATAACACCACCAGGTAGAGGAATGTTTCCTCTACCAGCTAGCATTGTAATTTTGGAGAGGTAAGATATCATTCGCGAGAAATTGACGGCTAAAGTCATTGTTTACAAAAGCAATTACGCCCCTTTGAAATGTTGACACTGAAATGTTGAAATATCTAAAGCCCTACAGTAAAAGTATGGACGTCTGTCAAAAGTTGTTCCAATCGAACCGTCAAAATGCACCGTTTGCTCGATTGGAACAGCTTTTTTTCAGTTTTGTGGTGACAGTCGTCGATACTTTTACTGTAGGGCTTTAGAAATATCCATACACTCAAAAAGGGTTGCTTTCACTCACTTGCTATAAAACAATGTTTTTCGATAAATGATGTGTTGCACTTGTAAGTAACAAGAAGAGGGTGTAAAGTATGTATTTGACTCATAAAACCTGTCAATTTCGCTTTCAGAGCCTCACAATCAGCGATCTTATGATTCGTGAGCGTTCACTCAGAGTGAGCGCTCACGAATCGTTAAATCGCTGATTGTGACGCACTGAAAGCAATTTTGACAGGTTTTATGTGTCAACCACATACTTCACGACTTCTTCTTGTAACTTACTAGTACCACAAACGAAGTGACAGACGGAGCGGCTTGAAAACTTTGGTGACTAAACTGCTATTTCAATTTTTCAGTGTACCACATGGCAACACCACTACTACTGGATTGTACCACATGGCAACACTACTACTAGATTGAACTAGCATTTTCACCAAATGACAAGTACGCAGTTCAAAAGAAATCGGTAAAGGAAAGATCGATTACATTAGTATCGTGATCGACATGAAGGTAGCGCATTCTGAATGCAATTTCACTTTCCTTGCGGAATAATGGTCTGATCAATTATTCCGTTAGGTAATGTTGGCGTTTAGTGCAAAACTGATGTTTTGGATGCATTTAAACAACATAAACACTAATAAGTGTTGATTTTACAATTTGACGACATCTCGCTATAATCTCAAAATTTAGCAGACTATAGCTGTCAAATTTTCTTTTGGGAAAAATCCTCAAAAATTACTTTTCCGTTTTTTTTTCAGCTGCGTACTACCCGGAAAAAAATAACCATACAATTACCATAAAATAAAATACAGTTACAAGTAAATCTATTGCCAACAATCGATCTTATTGTGTGTATATAGTACACGAAGTTTTAACATATTGTAATTACAATAGATGTACAATACGTCCCATATAGTAAGAGTTTTCAACAATAGAACAACAATACAATTAATGGTAAATGGTTCAAGTTTGTTCGGGAAAAAATGATTTTTCGTATGGTTCGACCCCCTTAATCTATTGTATAATCCCCCATTTACCATAGATTCTATTGTAGAAACAATACATTCTATTGTTATTTTATCGTTGTGGAGAATACGATTTATTGTAAATACCATAAACTCTATTGTATGGTTACAATACATTTCATTGTACCTCTACGGTTCTTTTTTTTTACGGGTAGGCTTAAAGCATGGTACGCAGCTGAAAAGTAATGACGTTTTTACGGGCTACGGGAAAGGACACGGAATGCTAAAGAAATTTCTTTTAATTAGCATTTCTTGACCCAGTACGCAGTTCAAAAGAAATCGGTAAAGGAAAGATCGATTACATTAGTATCGTGATCGATATGAAGGTGGCGCATTCTGAATGCAATTTCATTTTCCTTGCGGAATAATGGTCTGACCAATTATTCCGTTAGGTAATTTTAACGTTTGTTATAAAAATGATGTTTTGGATGCATTTTAACAACATAAAAATTGATAATTGTTGATTTTAAAATTAGACGACACCTACCTATGATCTCAAAATTTAGCAAAAGACACCTCCCTATAGCTGTCAAATTTACTTTTGGGAATATTCCTCAAAAATTACTTTTCCGTTTTCTTTTCAGCTGCGTACCAGGCTTAATTCGGCAATAGTCACGCATGATTAATTTATCTTTTAAGTATTCAATTTGATTCTTTTAGAATATTAATATGTAATCAACAGAGATTAAAATTCAATGAAAACAGATTTAAAATCAATCAAAAATGATTAAAATAGAATTAAAAATGATTAATACCCCGTACCAGACTATGCCTTATATCATGTAATATAGGCTGTCTTGCAATGATCACTCATACATCTAGTTTTCACTGGAAATCCTATGTATGAGTGCTCATTGCAAGACAGCCTATATTTCGTGATATAGGCTGTAATGTGAACGGGGTATTAGCATTTCTTGACCCAGTACGCAATTCAAAAGAAATCGGTAAAGGAAATATCGATTACATTAGTATGGTGATCGACATGAAGGTGGCGCATTTTGAATGCAATTTCAGATGCGGAATAATGGTCTGATGTCGCCACTGCATGATGATGATAATGTTGACAGACTGCATATAAAATTCGTGAAAATTTGCATTAAATCATAATTTTCATCAAGCCTGCGTAAAATCCTTCCAATACAACATTCGAATTGAAGAAGAAAATGTTTTCACGATCAAACTGATGTGCATCTTTGACTTTTCCAGATGAACTTTCATAAGATATATTCATTTCATTTCACAGCTCCATCAATGCTGCATCGTACATATGATGTAAACAGAAGTAAATTTTTTTTTTAGCCAGTGGTGGTGGGGGGGGACACCCCTCACCATCCCTCTCCAAAGGGGGAGTTTGGTAAAGAGAGATGAAAAAACCGATTTGTACCTTCCTTAAAAGTTGTCCTAGTTCGCTATTCTAATATCTATATACAATTTTCACACTGCCGTACTCTAACGGAACTATCAACTCTATGCTTTCATCTACTCCATCTATCGTATAAAAATTACCACTACAGTCTGTTATTTGAAATTAGCATCTTCAACTATAGAAGTAAATTGCTCAATTACTCAAAATAAAGATGATTTGTCATCTTGTTATCACTTTATAAACCATCGAGCACCATTTTATAGTATGGTGCGTGTTGAGTAAATCAAGTTCCGTTGCATTTTTGGTCGAAAATTGTGAGTATCAATATGTTTTCCTAAAAAAGGCCAAAATGAACATTTATTGAATATTGGCGTCATAACCATATCTCCATTATCACCAGCATGATACAATCTTTCCTAAGTAAATTCACTTAATTTCCACTTTCATCCTAGTAAAAATCGCACATATTCACCATTTTCCGAAAAATGCAGCTGCGCAAACTTGTAATGCATAATTTTCCATGGAAACATCTCCGATCCATACCGAAATAATAACAGTTAGTTTGCAAACACGTTTTCTTACACGATTCAAGCAAAAGTTTAGTTTTTCTTTATGTGCCGATTTGCCCCAAAAATCGTCTGTTTACTTGGAGAATTTGGAAAATATCCTCCTTCTAGTAGTTCTCACTTCGAAATGTAGGTGGCGAAAGCTTGGAAAGGTTTCACTGCAAGACGTCAATTGATGAATCTACGCGAAACTGCACCAGTGCATGCGACACCTAAGATTGAAATCCAAAACCACAAAAGTGATGAGGTACTAAAAAATATTCCATACGGTTTGACAGGTAGCAAAACGTCATTATCATTTTAACACAGACAAACAGACATAACACTCACAAATTGTTCATCGCACAAGCATTTAACGGTCAATTTAAAAGTATCTCAGTTGGTAGTACTGCCACATGTGGCGCGCATAGTCAATTCCCTTGCGTTTGGCGTTTACACACTACCGCCATCTGTTCAGCGTACTACCCACCACAGTGTATTCAACAGATGGCGGTAATGTTTTAGTGACGATGTTTTACAATGAGAAATATTCAATGTGTTACGTCTGTTTGTCTGTGATTTTAACATCATTTCCATCTACTAAAGGACCTTAACGTAAATTTATCAATCAATATAGATTCCGCAAGGAAAGTGAAATTGCATTCAGAATGCGCCACCTTCATGTCGATCACGATACTAATGAAATCGATCTTTCCTTTACCGATTTTTTTGAACTGCGTACTGGGTCAAGAAATGCTAATTAAAAGAAATTTCTTTAACGTCATTACTTTTCAGCTGCGTACCATGCTTATCCCATGCTGTTTATGTTGTTTAAATGCATCCAAAACATCAGTTTTGCAATAAACGCCAACATTACCTAACGGAATAATTGATCAGACCATTATTCCGCAAGGAAAGTGAAATTGCATTCAGAATGCGCCACCTTCATGTCGATCACGATACTAATGAAATCGATCTTTCCTTTACCGATTTCTTTTGAACTGCGTACTTGGTCAAGAAATGCAAGGAAAAGAAATTTCTTTAGCATTCCGTGTCCTATCCCGTAGCACGTAAAAACGTCATTACTTTTCAGCTGCGTACCAGGCTATAGCCTGAACGTACTATAAAGTTTCATGCAAATCGTAGACGGTCGAGTCTGATGGTGGTAGGCTCCAACTTGGATTAAATTTTAATACCGTCCCTGTGTGGATGTTCTGCAAATTATTTTCTTAAAGTCGCGTTGATTAACTCTTGATCCGGATTTAATCCGAGGATAATGCCGGTTGGAGCTTACCACCATGATTGTATGTTTTTTTTTTCCTATAAAGCCTTTTGACTACAGTAGACTAGAGTCGGTGTATAATGAGTCACGCCAAGAGAAAAACAGTTGAACTCGCATCACGGTTTTCGAAACATTCCCTTTCTTTTCACTTGGCAACAGAGGACTTCTACATCAACTTCAAATGACTTCTAGCGAGAAAAAAAATAGCGGCTGTAGTAAATTATTATATCAGTGATTTTGTCAAATTATCTTATCAAAAAATAGTAGAAATTCTCATTACTGATCATTACCAAACGTATCCCATGACAATTTAATGCTCACTGCGTGTTTATGATCATTTCTTCAATTGTATTTTATATTTTATTGCAATACCTTTCGTGGACCTTTCATAGCATAGTAATGTTTGTTTACTTTGCACGATAGGTAGCCGGTTTGACAGTTCAATAGGTAGACTTGGCTTCACTCTTGGCGTGACTCATTATACACCGACTCTACAGTAGACGATATAGTAAATACAGACTGGCGAAGACGAATCTAGTGGAGCCCAAGGTGCACAGCAAAAAAAATGTAATATCGATCAACGTAATTCAAGCTGATGTATCAAATAATGATGTAATAGCAAAAAGCAGATACAATATTACATCAAAAGATGTAATTTTGTTCGCAAAATCGATGTACATCGTACAACGTAATATTACACAAACATGGAATGACCTCTGTGCAGCAGTTTGGATGTATTATTCAACAACTTTTTTTTCTGTGTGGCTACCCTAATAAAAATAACCATAAAAGAGAGCTTAACGACGTGTTCGAGGTATCATCCAAACCATTTGTGGGATAGTTTACCCATCCGGGATACAGTTCGTTTATGGTATTTGTTTATTAGGGTACACAGCAAAAAAAATGTAATATCGATCAATGTAATTCAAGCTGATGTATGAAATAATGATGTAATAGCAAAAAGCAGATACAATATTACATCAATGGATGTAAATATGTTCGCAAAATCGATGTACATCGTGCAACGTAATATTACACTAAAAAAAATCCACACATTTGATTGAAGTGTTTAAACACTTGATTTTTTAAATTCACAATCACATTTACTTCAAGTGTATTTCACCATTTCACCTTGGTTCAATGTGTTATACACGTTAATTTCTAGTGTTTCAAACTTTGAAATGTTGAAAATCTTTCACTATCTATTCAAGTGTATTGCACATTGAATCACACTACTGTTCAAAACAGATGGATTTAAAGTGTTTTGCATTTCAATACGATGTGAGCTTGCTCAGAAAGGTAAACATCGAAAACAAGAGTTGTGACTTTATCCTATCAACCCGCCTCATATATGAGAAGAACCGTGGCACAGTGAGATCGAACGAAGACTCCAGCAGCAGCACACCCCAACAGTCCATGATCGAATCCCAAATCAGACCCATGCATTAAAAATATATGTGAATGCTCTGGCCTCTGGATGTTTTGTTTATGTATTTTTCGATTCATTTTAGAGTCGGTAAAGTAGAAGTCGATAAAGTAGAATATTGAACTATGATGTACAAAGCTACACACAAAAAATAATCGTTGATAAAATTAAAAAAAAAACATTAGTAAAATTAAAAGTTTGCGTTGGTTCTTTTTGGTAGAAAGCGGTTAGCTTTCAAAACTAAAGTCAACCAATTGTCTAATTAAAAGTTTTCCGTTCACTACTTTTAAAAGCTAAAACTTTTAAGATGAATTGTACTACTGTCAAATGAAAAGCACGGCGTATTGAAATTAAAAGTGGGTTCTTTTCAATTCAAAACAAATTTTTGACATGAAAATGTGGTAAATTTGAAATAATATGTACTGTTTTGATTTACACAAAAAGCATTTTCAATTTAAATATAAGTATTTTGAAGATTATAAAACCATTTTTAGTATTTAATTCTAATAAATATTAAATCCAAATATTTTCTTTATTTGATAAATAAAAATCTACAAATACAAAAATATATTTATTATGTCAGTTCGGTGCCGGCACGCGTATAAGCGTCTTACGTAGGCTCAACGCCACAGCTGATGAATGATGTATGTGTAGTCGAATAGGTTCGGATTCCAGGAAATAGTTACCACATTCAGCTCAGAACAGCTGCCCCGCCAGCCAAGATGAGATCAGGGATTCTTCAGTTGAAGTTTGATTCCATCGATGTCCAGCACGGCATAAGTATAGGTTGATAAGAGTCTCCTACGTTGGGTTCTACTTCCGTTATCCATCAGCGACGTTACTAGCGCAGAAAGTGACCACACGCGAACAAACCCATGAAGACATGCCTAAAACGAAAAACACCAAGATCAATTTTCAGCATCTCAAATCAAGACAAAAAACCTCACTCACTCTTGCACGAGTTCAGGGAAAGCGCTAATGTTCTGAAACTTCCCAACAGAATACCTAACGCGATCGCTTGTTGAATACAATATTAAAGTATCCATACTACTCCCGGCTGATCTCCATCCGTTCTTGAGGCCAGGCAGGATTATGAATAAAATAAAATGTCTGTAGGCGGAAGCAAAACATGAGGTTCTCGATGTCAATGTCGGTGCTGGCTGTTTCAAAAATTGACTGGAGCATAGACGAATCAATGAGGCTGTGAAAAAAGTAATTTTTTAATAAATGTGAACCTGTTGAAGCAGCGTTTTTCGACATTTCTAAAATTAATTACTCACTCAATATCCGAGACGGTTCTGCTGCTGCAAAAATGAATGCAATACATTTTGGCGCGAAGTAAACGGCTACTGAAACTTCAGTGCTGCTAGTAAACAAATCGATGTGAAAAGGTATATATTGACAGTTGAACAACTTTCCTTTTAAAAAATGCACTTTTAAAATTACAAGTCAAAAGTGAAAAAAACACATTCAAACAAAAAATTTAATGTTCATTTTGATTATTTTCGCCGTTAATACTACGAATTTTGGCAGCCTTTCAATATGAAAATGCATTATTTTTATTGATACAATTTTTGTTGTTTGTGTGTATTGATATAACCATATCAGTGCTAACATTTGAAAACGGCGCAAAAGCCATTTGTAAACAAATGGTTTGTGGGCCCTTTACTCGCTACCCGAAGAACGCCCACGCAAACCAACAGCATCGTCAGGAAGGGGAAAATTTCCCCTACCCGATGTTGCTGTTGTGTCGCGTGGGTGTACTTTAAGTAGTGAGTAAAGGGCCCACAAACCATTTGTTTACAAATGGCTTTTATGCCGTTTTCAAATGTTAGCACTGATATGAGGCACATAGAATTCAAGTGTCACAAAATTTTGCTTCTAACACCAGCAAGCTGCCTGTTGTTCCAGACCTTGTACGATTGACTTCGGACCAGACCTTGTATAATAGACATCGCAAGCCGTCTTTACCGAGCGTCACGAGACGTCACTCAAGTAGTGTGCAATCTCTATAGACTTCTCTGACGTTTGTGAAATGCACAAGTATTAGGCCAGACCTTGTGGTAAATTATAATTATTAGTGCAAGAAAACCTTTGTATTTGCCCAAAGTCCTGCACTAATACTTGTGCAATTGATAAACGTCAGAAAAGTCTATACTAACCTTGTACTTAATTTAAAAGTAAATATTCTTTCTTTTTAGGCCAAAAGAGTTTACGGATTGTGTAGGCCATATGCGATTATTATCATGGCTTCTTATGGGCTCATTAACACACACTGCTTTAATGGGTAAACGTGGAGGACACATTGGACATCACGGTGCGACGGTGCAATATCACCTTCAGCATCCCGTAAGCACAGTATCGCAGCCTGTCCCACAAGAATCCAGTTGTCATATTGCAGATCATATCCAAGTTATATTTGCCGGTTTTGCAGAGCAATCCAAAACATCCGTATTGCATATGTCTTCATTGTTCCATGCTTTCACTCTTTGTCAGTTGTGGACCGTCTACTTGGAGCAAATCGCGTGCGCAGCAGCGCCATCTTCTGAATCACACAACATTTCGATGGGTATTTTGTTCGAATTTTGGGCCAAAGTTACACCATGCATATTACAGTTGGTGTCACATTCAAAGGTTAGTACAGATCCTATTATAATCTAAATGTTATCACTATCATTCATTGCCATTTTTTTTTCGTAATACCGGTGGAAACTAACGATTTTAAATTGGCTCACTACTTGACTAGCCTATTGGTCCCAAGCAAATCGATTAACGTACCCCATCCTAGTCAAAATTCTAGTACTACACTATGTTTGTTTTGATTCGCTATGAAAGTATGACAGATAAAATGAGGGGTTCGTGGATTTTTCTATGTTTCGAGGGGTGCATCGATTAGCTTGGGACTGAAGATAATACTAGAGCTGAGCCAAAAGGTTGAGCACGTTTCTTCGGGACCTGCTAATCAGCTCACTAATTTAAAATCATTAGTTTCCAACCGGTGCTACTACCACAAACGAAACGACAGACGGAGTGGCTTGGTAACGAACCTGATATTGATTTTTTTAAGTGTACCACATGGCAACACTACTACCACAAACGAAGTGACAGACGACTAACTGGCAAAGATATCCATTTAAATAATGTTGTTCACTGTAATAGAATTTTCTTGGAAGCTTGTGCCACCAGATGGGTTAGTTTTTTTTGTTTTGATTTGAACAAAGTTGATTTTGTGTACAATGATTCTTTGACAGTGTGCAAAGAGTGCGTATCATTTTGTCATTTTTTTATGAATTTCAGTTTTGAGTAGAGTGAAAGAGATCGAACCAAAACATTCTAGTACTTGGTGAAAATGCTAGTTCAATCTAGTAGTAGCATAGAGGTAACTCTAAGACCACTGGGTCCCGAAGAAAATCATTATTATTTTTGGCTCACTCAGTACCAGAACAACGGTCCCAAGCAGTCCCAAGCTATTTCACTCACCCCTGCATGTTCTGCATGAATCCACACACCCCTGATGTTATCTGTCAAACTTTCATAGCGAATCAAAACAAACATAGTGTAGTAATAGAATTTCAACTAGAATAGGGTACGTTAATCGTTTGCTTGGGACCAATAGGCTACTGAAGTGGTGAGCCAATTTAAAATCGTTAGTTTCGTATTGATTGTTGGTAGTAGTGTTGCCATGTAGTACAATCCAGTAGTAGTGGTGTTGCCATGTGGTACACTGAAAAATTGCAATAGCAGGCTAGTCACCAAAGTTTTCGAGCCGCTCCGTCTGTCACTTCGTTTGTGCTACTACCAACCGGTGAACACTCGTGTTTATTTCAGTTACCGTTGGGACGTAATTTGTGATTAGCCCCGGTCCCTTTCAAATTGTATCATTATTTATGTACGGTCTTTATATTTGAAGAGACGTTTCACATCCATCTAGTGATGGACGATTTTCATTCGAATAATCAATTAATCGATTAACGAACCGAAAAGTAAAATATTTGTAATCGGTTATATCATGCCGATATAAGCATCAACTTCTCCAGAGCATCATCACCGATCGTTTCAAACATGTGCTGCACTCTCATTGGTGGAAAAATGACAGCACAGCGAACAAAAAATAATCGATTAGTTGTTAATCGAGTAATTAAAAAATGGGACATCTCTGATTTTGGTGTGATACGCCCTTTTAATGTCGTTTTCGTTTTTGCGGTGTAGCTACCGGTGCTACACTGCCGTACACCGAAATATTTTAGGGTGTAGATATAGGATGCACCTTTGTTTACAAAAAAATGATGTTGAGCTGTCAAAGACTCGCGCTTATTCCTGCTTACACTACACCAGTGCTACACCGCAAAAACGAAAACGACATAATGCACCACCAACGTAGAGTGCGCCACGCGAGTTCGAGAAGAAGTTGACCGTTTGTTTACATCAGAATAAGTATTTTCCCCAACGCAAATAACAGCATTTTTCATTCAAAATCTTGCAAATTTCCATCGGTAATTGTCTTATTGTACGATTTTCCACAAATCTGAACTAATTTGCACCTTAACTATTTACACACAAGAAATCCGGAAGATCATAACCACTAAGGCACTTTTCTAATTTTCCATTTTTCTCAACAAAAATATTGCTGAACACCAGCAGGATATTTTCAAAAACGTTACGGAATTAAATTTTTCAACTGTAGATTGGCAAATCAAAGTTGGCACGCGTGGAGAATAGAAGAACTATGAAAGTGATGATGGTTTACGAGTGCAATCTTAAAATACTTTTATTTTGTGAATGGAGCATTTTATTTAAATCTGGTAAGTGCTACGTTAGTAGAAAACTTCAGGACTACTCAATAGACATATAATACAGAAAACTTAATTTCTTTTCAGATTTTTAGGTGTAAACATAGACTTCCGCTTTTCTACCACTGTAGCAGTAACCAGATTTAAATAAAATGCTCCATTTTCAAAATAAAAGCATTTTAAGATTGCACTCGTATACTTCCCCGTGCAAAATTTAAAAACCATCATCACTTTCATAGTTCTTCTATTCTCCACGAGTGCCAACTTTGATTTGCCAATTAAGTTTTGCAGCATCTCAGATGAATCAATTTATCAGGAAAAGTAAAAAAGTGTTCCGCTTCCTATGTCTCAAGGCAAAAATTTATGCTCACAACACTCTTTTTGACGTTCTCCTATTCACCACCAGAGGTTGAATCGTTCGTTTAGTTTCTATTAAAAAGGCCTATTGTTTTGATAAAATAAAAAGTGCGCAAAATTCAGTTTCATCTTAGTATTCATCTTTGCTACTACTGGATTTTACTAGCATTTACACCAAATGCACTAGAATGTTTTGGTTCTCCACGAAACGAAAATCAATTATTGTATTCATGTGTTTTTTTTTTTATTGCTGAAACATCAGCCTTATATAAAAAAAAATACTAAAATGAAACAGTCGGAAGAAAAACTTTCTATTTTAGTGTACTCTTTCACGGTCCCTTTCATCCAATGAATACCACCCCTATGCGAGGTAATTTTGTGGTTTTGCTGCCCCTCGGTAAGATGAAATTTGGCGCTCTTTTTTATCAAAACAATCACACTAAAAACAGAGATGTCCCATTTTTTAATTACTCGATTAACAACTAATCGATTATTTTTTGTTCACCGTGCTGTCATTTTTCCACCAATGAGAGCGCAGCATATGTTTGAAACGATGGGTGATGATCCTCTGGAGTAGAGTCGGTGTATAATGAATTAATGAGTCACGCCAAGAGAAAAACAGTTGAACTCGCATCACGGTTTTTGAAAGATTCCCTTTCTTTTCACTTGGCAACAGAGGACTTCTACATCAACTTCAAATGACTTCTAGCGAGAAAAAAATAGCGGCTGTAGTAAATCATTATATCAGTGATTTTGTGACTCATTATTGGCAAATCAAAGTTGGCACTCGTGGAGAATAGATGAACTATGAAAGTGATGATGGTTTCAAAATTTTACACGGTGAGGTATACGAGTTCAATCTTAAAATGCCTTTATTTTGCAAATGGAGCATTTTATTTAAATCTGGTTAATGCTACGTTAGGAGAAAACTTAAGGACTACTCAATAGATATATAATATAGAAAAAATAATTTCTTTTCAGATTTTTAGGTGTATGCATAGATTTCAGCTTTTCTACAACTGTAGCAACAACCAGATTTAAATACAATGCTCCATTTTTAAAATAAAAGCATTTTAAGATTGCACTCGTATAGCTCTCCGTGGAAAATTTTTAAAACCATCATCACTTTTATAGTTCGTCTATTCTCCACGAGTGCCAACTTTGATTTGCCAATACACCGACTCTACTATGGAGAACTTAGGCTGTGAACCGTTTGCCGAGTTAAATTTAACTCGTAGTTAAAAGTGACATTTCGGAAGTTATTTCTTATGTTCGAAAATCCCCGTGTCGATCGACCGGTTTTCGAGCCACGGTCGTCAAAATTTAACTTCTTGTCTGTCAGAAATAACCACGCTCGGATAGCAGGGTTAATCGATAACTTTCCATCTGTCAAATTTTAACCAAAAGTTAAAATAAGCCACCAAATGGTTCAGAGCCTTAATGCTTAAATTGGCAAATCAAAGTTGGCACTCGTGGAGAATAGAAGAACTATGAGAGTGATGATGGTTTCCAAATTTTACACGGTGAGGTATACGAGTGCAATCTTAAAATGCTATTATTTTGCAAATTGAGCATTTTATTTAAATCTGGTTAATGTTACGTTAGTAGAAAACTAAAGGACTACTCAAAAGACATATACTATAGAAAAAATAATTTCTTTTCAGATTTTTATGTGTAGACATAGATTTCAGCTTTTCTACCACTGTAGCAGAAAGCAGATTTAAATAAAATGCTCCATTTGCAAAATAAAAGCATTTTAAGATTGCACTCGTATACCTCTCCGTGGAAAATTTTGAAACCATCATCACTTTCATAGTTCTTCTATTCTCCACTAGTGCCAACTTTGATTTGCCAATCGGCATGATATAACCAATTACAAATATTTCAAGCTGAACATTGCATTAGGTCCTAAGTAACATTGATCGATTCTCGTCGTTGACTTTCTCTTTCATTAATAACTTGAGCACATAACCGTTTCATGTTGTGTTTGTCGTATTGGATGCTAGATAAAAGCTTTTTTTTATCGATCAGTGTGCTGAAAATACATGGGAATGTCTTAAGATGGTTGTGGGGATACAAAGAAAAAGTCGACGAAGAGAATCTGTCAATGCTACTTAGAACCTGATGCAATGTTCAGCTTGATTTTACTTTTCGATTCGTTAATCGATTCATCGATTATTCGAATGAAAATCGGCCATCACTACCCGTAAAAAATTTCATTGTCATTGTAACCATGGTATTTACTGTCAAAACATTGGACATTTTTGTCCATTACCATAAAATCACAACGAAATTCATGGTTCACAACAATGAAAATCATGGTATTTGAGAAATTTACAGTAAAAAAGGGGGGTTGTTAAGCATCTTAACAATATAAGCCTTTTTAATGCACCACCAACGTAGAGTGCACCACGTGAGTTCGAGAAGAAACGTCAACCAAACCGTTTGTTTACATCAGAATAACAATTTTTAACAACGCAAATTAAA